ATTTTGAATTACCTTGTCATTTGCATGTACCTTCATCATTTCAAATGTTAAAAAAGTGCTTTGGTTTTTTTATGTCCACTTGCTTCCACATTCTGTGAGCCTCAGCATATCGGGGTCTACAACCCTGATATTTTGGATGTGATTCAAGTCCATAGCAGCAGAAGTTCTGTGCCTGCCGGGTGAGTTTGCACACTTAGAGAAATGACACAGAAACTTTCAAGACATGATCGAAGTCACTGGAAATTATAGGAGCTCAGAAACTCACTGTAGTTTGAAAAGAAGTTGCAGCTGAGGTGAGAGGAGACTTACAGAGGTACAAATTTCCAAAGTATAACACACAGGTTTTTTTGTCTCTTGTTTTAAATCTGTATTTGTGCTCTGTTACCCTGCCTAGCCTTCTATAAAGCTTTCTCTGTCAAATATAACATTTCTGATTGTTGTTCCTTTCAGAGCGCTCATCCACCAGAGCAGGAAGACGGCATATCAGCACCAAGTTTAGCTGCTTGAAACTACGGCAACCTTTTTATTTTTAATGTTTCTAGATCATCTGTTTTAAGTGTGTCGCTTTCGCCTTGACATGTAGTTTCAATTAGGTCAGAGCATTTCCATCAAAAATGAAAACATCACCAAGGCAGGGGAAGCTACCTCAAAACCTATTTGTAAAAGACCCAAAGGCTTTGCTACTGATTTTCATAACAGATAATTACCATCATTTAAATTTTTTTCTAATTTACAACCTTGTTTTGTATGCTTATTCCACTTGTTGCTAAGAGTTAGGAAAGAGGATTTATACCACTGGAAAAGAAATGCAGCAATGGTTCAAACAAAGAGAGACATTGTGCACCAATTAAAAAGTGTCAAAATTCCACTGCTACTTTTATTGTAATTTAGTTTGATGTGACTGAAATATGCACATTTTAAGTTTCAGTTAATAAGATATAAACACCAGAAGGTCACATAATTTGAATTATGGTTATTGGCCAAATAAGGAGAGAAAAAGCAGTTAATATATTAGAATGATACCACTGTTAACAGTTTTAGTCAGGTAAACAATGACTGAGTAACCCCCTTCCCTTTCAATCCTGCTTCCTCTACTCCTCTTCCATCTTCCATATATGAAACCTCAGAACACCTGTTCTCAGCCAATCCAGAAGCAGCGCGACACACAGCTCCTCCCACTGCAGCTGATGCCGTTACCATGGGTTACAGTGGGTGGCCACATCCGTCTCTATCCCGTTCTGGTGAGGAGACTTTCCTCCTCATCTCCTCAGGATTTAGCAGCACTGCACTGCAGCACTTCTCACTATCAGGTAAAAAACACATTATGTGGTGAAGTGAAAGGAAGAAACATTGACTGTCTGTCTGTCCGTGCAGTTTGCCTTGATTTCTAAGACATTTTCTGAAGCAAGTCACCATTTTCTTAAAACTATACATTCTTAAAACGATGCTCAAATTTCTACAAAAGCTCTAATTTCCAGCTCAAAATCAAACTTTGTCCTCAGACAGTACACACAAACAGTCAAAAACACACTACATACCTGTCTCCTACACATTAGAGGCATTATTTTAAAACACTTGTACCAAAAGTGTTTTTTTCCCATGAAATGAGGTATTTTTTGGCCGGCTTATGTTATTTACACCATGGCACTGAACATACAAGTTACCCTTAAAAGGAACATATTGTCAAAAGATATTAAAAACAGTAACACTTTTGAAATGTCACATTTGCAGAAGCTTTCCAATCCTACTGTGTTTTTCGAGCAAATGGTAAAGTGGTAGGTTGATCATGGTTGATGTGATTAAAACTAATTCCTGCCAACAGTGGTAGATCACTTATTTATTTTACCAAGTAAATAGCCTCATTGAGGCTGGAAGCTAATTCTGCAAGGGACACCTGACCAAATTAAATACATTGAAAGTTGTAGACAATTCAGTGGTGGGGGGGGGGGAAGTTCGTTTTGCCCCGGGTTAATCCAGCTGTGTTCAAGGAGGAAAAGGAAGGAGCCTGAGGTGAGTGGTGTTTCTGTTCTATCAAATTAGTACTTTTCTTGGTTTTTTGGTCGGGTTTGCCTTCATGACCTCATTCAGGATGACAAACCGCCATATAAATTGAACTACACAGAGATAATATTCCGTTATGTTTTCATGAGGAGCCCCCGATTTGATAATCTGCTCACAGTGCTGATTTCAAAACTTGTCCTACATCTGTTTCTGGATGCCAGGACCATGCCCTTCCTGTCCAAAGACCAGATTCTCCCTGTGTCTCTTCCAACTGCTTACTGGGCACGCTGCCAACTTTCCCTCCTAATTATCCTATGCTCCCCCGTCTCTGCTCTCAGCAGGGGACATTTGTTTTGTTTTGTGGAGCTGTTCAGCAAGGGGGGTGTCAGTGCACCATCTCAGCCTTTGGGCGTGGCCGCACCTTTGACACTCACTTTTCTGAATTCACCTCTGATGTTCAGGTTTGAGACTTTGTCTTCTCCTCCTGCTGAGATGACCACACACACAGCCAAGCACCCACCCACACAGTGGCCCTCACAGCCCTCTTGGAGAGGAAATAGTAAAAGCAAAGCCATTTGCTGCTCACCACGTTGTTATGGAAACTGGGATGACATGTTTTCTATGGCTACTGGTGCAGCAGAGCTTTTGTCCAATGCGAGTCAAGAATTAACATTGTGTGTTAGTGTAAACTGTGCTTCCTGTTCTTATTGATTATCATGCAGTGCTGATTTATTTATACCTCATAGCCATCTATTCTCTGTAAAGCTCAAGTGGAAAATGAAAGAATGTCCATTACAAACCATAATTTATGAACGTGTCATGTTACTTAAAGTAAAGTTAGCAACATGACCCTTTCATAAAGGTAAATGTAAATCTGACAGAGGATGTTAATAGTTGACATCTCTTTTAAATGAATCCTTTTATGCGACTTTACATCTGGCCATAACCTTAACTCCCTTCTCATGGTCAAAGGCCGAATGTCCCTACTGCTAAAATGATGAAAACAAGTAGCAAGAATATTAAAGATCTCAATCTACATATTGTCTTTATATTCAGCAGATGGTGTAATGTAACTATATATTATAGGAATATGGCTGCAAATGTAGTGAGGTGTACCACATTAAAAACCACTGAGAGTAAACTGCATTAAATGACTTGTAACTCTGTGGGAAAATAAAGCTGGAGGGTAGAAGGTTTCAAGTTTGCCAAGTCTGAACACAGTGGTCAAAACAGAAGTTTGTAGTGCAGGAATTTGCAGTGGTGACAGTGGCTGCAGGAAAACTGTGTATTTAAAATGTACAGTTTTACTGGATTGTGAGAGATTTGAATATTGGTGGTGGTGCTTTCAATGGCGAAACACTGTTAGTATGGTGAAGTTAAACCAAAAAATAAAATACTGGTGAAGTTTTTTGGAACAGAGATTTACCAGTAGAATATTTTACCTAGTGCCTAGAATGATGTTGACTGTTTAAAGGGTGGATAGTTTAAAGGGGCTACCCCAGCCAAAAACTGGGGGACTGACAAAAGACCAAATTATAAATTAAGAGACAAAAAGAAGAAGCTAAAATAACATGACTTTTAATTCCTATTATGGGTTAAACTCCAAAAACATTGGATTCATTTTCCTTGAAATTGTATTTTCTCAGTCAAATATTTGCTTTGAGAAATTGGGTCCTACAAGAATGTTCAATTTTCTGCAAAGGGTTGAGCAATTTTATTTGGAAAGTGAACTATATTTTTTAAATTTCATTTCTTACTGTATATATTTTTGTTTGTGTGTGTCTCACTGGTTTAAAGTAAGCAGGGTTAAGCTAACAAAGTCATACAATCAATCACATTTGATCAGACACAATCCTGTTCAAGTGTTTAAGGGTTAAACTCTTAATGAATAATAACTAAATATGATTTTTTTAAAATGTTTTTTACTTAGTCCAGATTGCATTGAGAAATAATTATGAACTAAAGCTAAATGTTCAGGTGCTTTAATAAGGCATGTTTATATACTTGAAGGTGTGGGAGGACGGGGTGGTGCTGAAGGGACAGCGCCCCTCATTGTTGGACTGGGTGTGACTGTGGGAACTCTCCATGGTGCTGATCGCCTTTTGACCTCAAACTTCTGCAAGAAACGCCCTGCGGAGACGCGCACAGCACAGATACACCATGGTTTAGTTATTAGGTTACACAGCTGCTGCACTTATTTGCCGGCAGGCCACTGTACCCTAAAGCATTTGAGCCTAGAAAACAAGTCTTTACTTAAATAAGGACCAGTCGTTTCCGGACAGTCAGATTTGATGCTGTCTTTGCACCGCTAGTATCTGGACGGGTTCACACAGGCTCCAGGTAACCCCGAGAAATATCCTTCTCCCATAGCTCAGTGGACCTTTTTTTTGACGAAGCTAGATTGTAGCTCTCTTTTTCATATGGTGACAGAAGTCAAGGATACGGGCTAGACGCTAGGAGCTATTTTGACTAGTGAGTAAGCAATTCAGAACTGCCTGCTGATCATAGATTAGGAAAACAGAATATCAGACAAAATCACGTAAATTTATGGTGCGTTTCTTCCTCTACAGTAGGAGTGTTTCCATTCAGTATTAGCCTTACAGATTTTTATTATTATTATCATTATCATTCGCTTGTGTCACAGTGCGACCACCTGCGCTTGAAACCTTCAAAGGCGGTGGCTGCTCAGGCGTGCGGAGCGGCAAGAAAAAAAAAAAACAAAACAAGAAGCGGAGACTCTGAGCATCTGTGCAACTACACCCCGAGAAACCTCACAGCTGCCCCCGCCTGCTATAGGCATGTCGACCGCCGGAGAAGTGCCAGCCTTCTTCAAGAACATGGGCCCTGACAGCCCCGCCAGGCCGAGGCAGCAATTCTGTGGCATGTTCTGCCCGGTGGAAGGCTCCTCGGACAGCAAGACGCTGGACTTTGATGCACTCTCGGCGTGCAGGGGCAGGAGTGCCGGGCGAGTCATTGACCGGCAGACCGACATCTCCCAGCCGAAGAAGGTGGAGATAAGGGAAAGCACGGGGAAAGAAGCTCTACAGAATCTGGATGATAAAAGGGTACATTTCTTGTATTTTGCATGTGTACGACTTAGTTTTTCTCGGTCTGTCTTTTTTGTCTTTCTCTCTTTTCCACATTATCTCATTACTGTGGGCCAATATTCAGATCTTTGGACAAACCTGCGCTATTTTCACCTAGTGTTGAATACCTACAGCCTCTGTCGTTCATTTGAGTTCGTTAAAGCTTACAGCCGCTGTGTGTCAGGCAACTTGCACTGACTACATTTCCCAGAAAGCACAGTCATCATGTAACAGAGTCGATGGAGGGCCCACCATGCAGAGCTGTCAGAGGGAGTGGCACCTGTTAGTTAGAGCTCGTTGTTTTGCTTATTGTTGCACAGTACACTTGATTACGTGCTGCATGATTGTCCATGAATTGCTCAAGTGCCCTTGAGCAAAACAATAAACACCTGGTAACTCAGTGTTGACAGGTCTCGGTCTGGTAAATGATGAATGTTATAAATGAGACACGTGAACACACAGTGTCCGATGCATATATGATGCAATACACGGTCACAGCATTTTTGTGCTTGTTCATTTACACTCTTTAACAGCAGAACTGAGGGTGTGGAGCTGATGGACAAGAGATAGCAAATCTGACTTCCATGACTTACAAGAAAATGAGTCAACTCTTCTGCTGAGTTGCTGTCCAGGTTGTACAGCTGACTGGTAAAACCGTGGCACTAGAGCTCCCTTTACTTAATTAAGCATTCGGGATGCTGTTAAAAGTTTTGGCTAGTGATGTTGAGCCCTGGTATCATGTTGCATATTGATTGGAAGCATCAATCTACTCTGTACACTCTTATCCCTTACATCTATTTAAGTCTGACATGTATAGTAGTTTGCACTGCTCTTTTCTGATACGTGAATGTTTATGGAATGAATTGATCTGTTCATGCATATCAAGAATATAATGAATACAATTAAATGATGGGATGCTTAAAAGCTATAGCTGACGTCTTGGGTCAGTGTTTGATTTTTAAAAAGTGACTTTAGCAGTGGACTTTCCAGTGGTGGAAAGTAACTTGATTTATTTGAACATTTCTATTTTCCTTCTCCATCTAGACAAATAATGTCTCCACTACATCTATTTGATAAAGTTAATTTGCAGATAGATTAATAACGCAAACTATAATTAACAAATAAATGATGATGTATTAGTAGTTCAAGAGTTTATTGATGCCCAGGGTGAAATTTACAAGCCATCTAAGAGTCAATATAATGTATTTAATGAATTAATATGATATAAAATAAAATTAGCTCCTTTTTGTACACCATTTCCTCAATTGTTATAATGCAGTAACATAATATAGTTACATTATTGTAACACGGACCATCCCGCCTATCAGTGGGCTACTTACACTTGATGCAAATACTTTTGGTTAAGTAAAATAGTCAGTGCGTTACAGTTATAGTCTTATTTGGTCTGATATGACCCTGTAACCATGTGTGGTGGTTATGACTAATATTAGCAAACTTTTTTCTTGTGAGGAAAAATAGGGGACAGCTTGAATCAGAAGCAACAAGACTGATTTAAATAAAATGGTTGAAAGAAGTTTATCAGAGCAGGAAAACAGTTGAATGTGTGCACTGGCTAGTTTTTAATGCTGTGATACGTTCAGATTTGGAGACAGCAGATGAAGTGGCTGGAGTTAAGATGGCTGCTGGGTGTTTCTACATTTGTTCAGTCGGTGCACTCTCTTGCCTTCACTAATCCACAGAGAGTAATTGATGGTATTAGTGTCTTTCTCCTGTCAATGGAACAGGGCGAGGCTCTGCGCATGCTCCGAGGGGCTCTTATGGATAAGAGGCTCGCGAGTGGTCCCTCCCTCCCCTCTTGTCTGACTCCGTCTAGGAAGGAAAGGTTTGGTGCATCGGCGGACACCGGGAGGCTTCTAGGACGCAATCTGGAGTTGAGAGATAGTTTGATTTTTACATATTTGTGGCATCCCTAAGAATCGACTGTGATCATACCGGATCCTTCTTCACCATCTTCCTCGTTTCAGCCAGCAGTAATCTGCACGTCCTGTTGCATTGATAGCGGTCCACGGCGCAGCGCAAAGCGAACCACCGGCAAAGATGTCTGGCTACCAGGGCAAGAAGAACATCCCCCGCATCACAGTGAGTGCTGGGGTGTTTTGGTGTTGAAGTAGCTGAGATTAAATCCAGTCTGGTGTCCGGTGTCAGGTCATGTGGGCCTATGGGTGTGGGTGCAGGATGTGACCGGGGCGGCATGGTCCTTGCGCCGTTGCGCTCCTCGACAAATCTAAGCTGGAGGATATGACCGTACGACTTGCTTTCTGAGATGCATTTTGCAGATGCATATCGGTTGTATTGTTACATCTGCATCACACAGACTGAATGCACGTTAAGGTCGATAAATCAACGAAGCCCCGTGATCGAGTGGTGAAGCTGAAAATGTGTTTTTTGCAGCATCTTGGCGACAAGGACTCATCTCCGGACCACCCGAGAGCAACTTGACCATAGAATATTTAATTCTGTTGCAGGTCTACACTCAGTCTACCATTATTTGTCCAAGGCATGCATGACAGTTGACATCTCAGGCCCGTGTTCTTTGTTAGGCGGAGTGTCTGGTGGCCGGGTATCACTGCACACCAACTGGTGTGGCAATTGCTCCAATCCGCTGTAACGTTCAGAAACCGATTGTATTTTTTCACGCTCTCCTCTCAGTTTGGAAAAATTGGCTTCGAATTGTTTTATTTGGTTTTTAAGGGCGCAGAGGCATCTGAGGACACATTAACTGTGTTATTGTGGAACAGATTTGTTGCCTGAATTCATAGCGGAGCTGCAGGGATGTGGTGGTTCAATGTAAAGTAGACACCAGGGAGGGGAAGGGAGGGGAGCCAGGGGAAGGGAGGGGACAGTGGGTCCCATTTCCTCCCATGCTACTCTCTGAGCTGTATAATGAAGAGAAGATGCGTTTAGGCAATGCTGATGTGGAAGGAGGTCACTGTCTTTCCCCTCTGATGTTAGTGAATTGATATATTTAGGTTAAATTACAAAAATGGCTAAGAACATGCAAATAAAGCCATCTCAAATGTTTGTAGGACTCATTTAAAGCCTCCAGCTCAGAGGTAGTATAAATAAGTGCTTTTTGCAGATAGAAAAAAGATGCATTAATAAATGAATAATTGCTTACTGGGAACAGGGCCATGGTCCTAAGTGGTTATAGCCAATGTGAACATTTAAATCCGGTCAGCCAAAAGCCCAAATGAAAAACCACTTCACTTTGAAAGTTCATGACAAAGAAGCTGAGGACACTGCAGGTTGGGTGGACCCAGAGGCATCTGAGCCCAGAGGTCGATCATCAGAGGCCTCCTCATGGACATCACATAGATAGCAATCATAAAAGAAGTAACTTACATGATGACAAACAACTTGGATCAAACAGGATAGATTTTTATAGATGTCTGTTAATCTGATTTATAGTTCTTTAAAAATGCACATAAAGCTCTTTGCATATCAGTGCAAAGAAGGATGTTATTGGTAGTTGTGGAGCTGATGTGCATACATCCCAAAACTGAACAGTGGGGGCTTTGTATCTGCATGTTTCTTGTCTGTAAAAAAAAACAAAAAAACATCACACATATGTTTCTGATAATAATTAGAAACAGATTTTAGACTGTGCTGATATCATTGTCTTTGGCAAAAACCTCTCAGGTGAATCATTTTCCTCTCAAATCTCCAGAGAGGGCTTCAGATGCAGCAGCCAGTTGGTAGAGAGATCAGAGGATTATTAGGAGTTGTATTCCCAACAGTGATTAAGTCAGACCTAAATGGATAGACTGACTATTCTTGAACGGTGCATGAAAGAAAAGCAGGTCAGACACAGAACTTACTTCTGTAAAAATGGATTCTTTCTTCATGGAGGAGCGTGATAAATCTGCTGCATGCGACTGTAGCTGCTGAACAGGGGAATGCCTTTTTCATAAATTTTATACTTCCAGCTGGTTCTGGGCCTCGGCCCTGTGAGCTTCAGATAACAGATGTATTTCTGTAACTGCTGGGTTGCTTCAGAGAGCAGGAGCCAGTGTGAGGAGTGGACATGCCTATTAAACCAATCACAAGCTGGAGAGGAAATCAATGAGGTTTAATTAAATAAAAACTAAACAGGAGAGGTTGCAGCAGTGGCAAAGCAACGCTGTGTGCTCTGTGTCCCTCTGTACAAATCTATCAATTTTAGACTTTAGATTTACTATAATACAAAATGAATTTATCCTACTAGCTTCTCATTTGCCAATGGTGGAGCACTGATGTCCTACAACATTAGGGCTGTCTCACCCAGATGGACAGGCAGGGATGTGTTTAAGGCAGCTCTCATCAAATATGAATAAACCTCTGCAAGTTCATCACCTGGGATTGGTGCTGCTCTGTTACTCGATTCTCAAAATCTCTGGTTTATTCAGCTAAACCAGAGCAGAGTTAAAAGGTGTGTGATAGAAGTGAAAAGTAGGGCACACAGGACTGCAACTAATTGTTACTTAAACAATGAATAGATGATCAAAATTACTTTTCTCTTAATCAAGCCTTCACTTACTTGGCTGATCATTTCAACACTAGAGTCAAGCCAAGGTTATTTTTACCCAAAACAGCAGCACTTGTCAGTTTTAGTAAAGGCTCCTCTAATGTCCATACTAAAGGCAGGTGAAAACAGACCGAGGCTATACCAAAACTGTCCTGGATTAAAGTCTCTGTGACTATAATCCTCAGAGGATGAGACACACACACACACACACACACACCCGTGCCCTCGGTGGCAGCTCAGTGTGTGTAGAGGTGGCCTCAGCCTGATCATGCTGTTATCTCACAGTGCACAGCAGCCCTCACCACTGTCTGTTCTCACATCACACGCAGAGCGCTGTGTCCAAAGCACCCACCCACCGGCTCAGCCTTGATTTGTTTCACACTCACAAACATCGGTAATTCATTCATAAAGCCTGCAGTCAGAGGACGTATTTAGCGTGTGTACACAAAGTGTGACTCCAGGAAGAGTCGATGAAGGAATGTTTCACAGCCAAAGATAGAATTTAAGTACATTTCTAAAGTCAAAGAGTTTAAGGAAATGTTTATAATCCATGCAAGAATCTAAAGTCAAATAGAGAAATGAAGCAACATTTTTAATTTATAAAGTGAAAGTTTAATGTTTTCCGTTGTTAAAGACGGAATTTAAGTGAAGTTTTCAGGTGAGAGAACTTATGGAAATTCACTGTTCAGCTATGCAGATTGGTGACAAATGAAAGGAAAAACCAACTTAAAGAGTCTCAGTAAAGTGTTGGGCCACCACATGCCACCAGAACAGCTTCAGTTCAACAGCTTCTCTGAACTCTACTGGGGGGATGAACAACATTTTTCCTAAAGATATTCCCTGAGTTGGTGTGTAGATAATGATGATGAGAGCCCACTCATCATTTATTCAGGCTTTTCTTTAATTTGTCTATATTTTTGGATGCAGTTTGTGCTGCAGTTTTTCAGCCAAGGTGTTAAATTATGCATTGTCCTCTGTTGAATTCCTGTTTTGACACTTATTTGAATGAGCAAGGGTTTTATTAAAATACATAGTGAACCTGTTTTTACAACAGTTGTCTGAACATGTACAGAGATGTTTTTGGTAGCAGGCTGGTTTTTAAAAAAATCCAGGACGCACATAAATCATAGTGCTGGCGGCGCTCTCCATCTAACCTCACACATGTCCTCAGGATTATTTCCATTTGGACAACAACACACCACGTTGCCGGTTTGCCTTTCGCACTGGTAGACATTTTCTTAGCACATCTCATCCTGATTTCATAAAACTCTGTCTTTTGAGCCACCAGATGTTTCTTTTCTTCTGTGGAGTTTAGTTTTCACCTGTGTGGTGCTGCCAACCATGCTTTTAATAATGGTAGATTACAGGAGACATATAATAATACAGGTTAGTCTGACTTGCTGGAGCACTGTAGCATATTTAAGATGGGTTTACAGCCCAAAACTTTACAGTTGTGGTTCAGTCTCACTGCTCTCAACAGTGTTGTTTTCAGCTGTAGCAGGTAATCGTTTTTAGTAAAACAGTGCTCTGATAAACTCACCATATGGTAACTGTCAGACAAAAGTACTGAGCAGATATTTTGCTTTGGAGTTACTGAACATAACAAAATACAGCTAAAAGGAGAGTGAGTATTGGACTTACATTTGTCAGCTCAACTGACAAACACCAAATGATTGCAAATTTTGCTTCATGAATGATTTTTAAAAAAATGTTTTTTAAAAAAAGATGCTGTGGTGGAAAGCAAACAAAAAAGAGCTTTGAGATGGTTAAAGCGATTCTGGATGTCCTCCTCTAATGTCAAATTACTAAACTCTATCTCTGCTGTGTTTTTAAGTTATTTAAAATTTTAAATCTCCTGCCTCGAGATCGAGTGATGTTGAAACTGCACCAGTTGTTGTGTCACACCGCCAACACTGCCTACAGCCAGTCTTTCCCAGTGCCCACTCATGGTACTGCAACAAAAAAATCCCCCTAGGCCCAAAAAGTATTTTGTCTTTGTGTTATGAATTTGTATTCCACTGAGGCTTTATATTTGTAAAACCTTGCTGGAGCTTTATTTTCATGATGTCATCCTGATGTTAAGTGCTCTGCTCCATAGCAGCAGTGAAATCATTGAGCATTATCCACATCCTGTTTGTTTGGCTGTTAGAGGTTCCCATGAAGGAAAGGTCACTGTCATGTTTGGCACTGATCCAGTACAATCAGACGCACCCTTCAACCCCTGTGAGCTCCTAAACAATTAGGTGATTGTACTGTTTACATCTACATTCAAAGTGAGTGATAGTTCTACTAATTCAGCAGTTTTTTTTATTGATTTGTAGCTTGTGCTGGGAATTTTGAAAGATATATTTGGCTCTCTCTCTCACTAATTAGACCCCAAACCCTGCTCTTGATGGATCAAAATTGACTGTTTGTGAAAAGATTTTTTTTTCTCTCAGCTTTAGCTCGCACGAGTCTGAGAGAAAACGAGCAACAACTCGAGTACTGTAGTCTCTTGGCAAACCCGAGGAAGTAATGTGATAATGACAGTCATGATGAGGCACATGATGTAACAGCATATTTCAAAGCAGTTGTTGGAATGAAAGCAGGCCAGCAGTGGGCTGGAGTGAGGCCAGTTGCTCCACCAGAGCAGTCTGCTCCGCATAGATCCAAGATTACAACATGGTCTATTTGTATTATTTCAGTCAGTGCTGTCAGAGCGTCGCCACACCTTTCAGGGGACAACTGCAAGGCATTTTCCAGACTGGCTGCAGTCAGCTGAAATCCTCAAGTATATATGTGTGTGTGTGTGTGTTTGTACTGTACGATTGTGAGCTGCTGTATCTTCCCTACTTTATTGAAGGGTTGTGTGGCTGCCAACATAAGAACGGTTTCTCTCCAAACATGGAAGATATGACTATATGCAATATGTGTTTGTCTGGTTATTGTACAGCTGTAGTAAAAACAAAACACTATAACATAAGATAAAGTACACTTTATTAGACTCAGATAAGGTTGCCTAAAACTATTCCAGATTTCAAAAGCAAAACAAGAATTAATCATATCATTGTAATTAACTCCTCAGCTTATGTTTCAGAAACAGATGTTAGGAGCTTTCGATGGCTATAGCCTTTCATATTTATTCTCATTGCCTTATAAGTTTATAGTTTGAGGCTTTAAAGGGAAACTAGTATTCATTCATTCATTTTCTACCGCTGAATCCCTGAGCGGGGTCACGGGTGGGGCCGGAGCCAATCCCGGCCGGCAATCGGGCGAAGGCGGGGTACACCCTGGACAGGTCGCCAATCCATCGCAGGGCTAACACATAGACAAACAACCACACACACGCACATGCACTCCTATGGGCAATTTTAGAGACACCAACATTTAGATTTTAGAGCAAAACATTTTAAAACTGTCTATTATGAACGTGATGGGGTCAGAGAATTGCAACATTAAATTGATTAAGTACTCTTTTAATATTGCTTTTGTAACCCAGTTATTTTCATTATTGATCCAATGGACCCCTTAGGCCATAAGTGTAACACAACTGAAAAGTCCTCATCAAAGGTAATGTGTTCATATTGTGTCTTTTGTTCGACCAACAGTTCAAAACTTACAGATGTTCAATTTACAGTAATTTGCAACAAAGAAAAGCAGCAGATCTTGACATTTGAGAAGCTGGAATCAGATGATTTTAAACTTTTTGTTCGAGAAATGATAATTATTCAATTATCCAAATTGTTAAGACCAACCTCCAAGGTGCAGGTGAATAAAATATATGTTGGATGCCATATGTTAGCCTAGCTGTTGTACAGTATACAGCATAGACTGTATGTACCAAAAAACACCTCCTACTGAGTACTGAAATAATAATAATAAAAAAAAATCATTAAATAATGTTTCAGAGAGCTGAGCCCTGCAGTGCAGAGTTGTGTATGTAGTGGTTCAGGGTGGGGCTCTCACTGAGAGTCTGCAGAGCAGCAGCTGATGCTTGTGACCAGAGCTGACACTTTTCTTTTGGACAGAGGGCCTGAGCTGCTGGGGTGACTCGAGGGAGGGATGGGGGTGAGAGGCTCAGTTTAGGAGGCTGTGGAGTGCCCATTCCCTATCCACTGCACCGAAAGAAACGGCACAGCAGCAGCATGATTGATTAGTACACAGCCCTTTCTCTGATTGGTCATCTCTCATGTCTGTTAGCACAACAGCTTATAAATATGATGAAGACAGAGGGGTAGGCTGCTGTCTGGCTCTCACTATGTCATTGCCTGCTTTTCCCTCCTCTGTATTAAGCCTATTAAGAGTTGGTTTTAAGTGTGTGCACAGTGTGTTTATGAGTATCTGCTTGTGTGTGTGTGTGTGGTGAAGAAGACAGTCAGTATTAGTTGACAGACATTGCACAGCCAGGTGCTCCTTATCAGAATGCTTCCTAAGAAGGCCAAGAGGAGACTGCTGTTTGAATTCTGCAGGAGCATTTGTTAGGTTGTGCCAATCCACCCCTTTATGTGACATTTGGCAAAATGTCTTTCATCAAATGCGCTTAATCCTTTTCGGATACTTAACCTCATAAGTGTGTTTTTATAGTCATCTATAAAATCCCAGACTAAGCTGTGTGTTCAAATCTGCACCATCTGGTTCCCACAGTTTGATTTGAGCCTTTTCTGTGTGTTTTAAATGTGCAGCGTTCAGTCATTTTTACTGTTTTCCAGAGTGACCGTCTGCTGATCAAAGGAGCAAAGATTGTGAATGATGACCAGTCCTTCTGTGCGGACCTCTATATGGAGGATGGAGTTATCAAGTGAGTTTGCTGGTCTTCATTCATGCAGATAAATAAAAATCCAGATTGTGTTTTGTTCACTAACTTATAATTGCTAAATGTGTCTGTCTTATTATAATACAAACATAAAAATAAGAAAAAAACCCCCAAATGCTTGGTAATGGTGAATATGAAATAGTTCCTTCACTGACATTACATGCAAACTGAAAACAATACGCAGCTTCAAGAGACCGCTGATGCTTGAAAAAGCTGTAAACACATTCAGTAATCAGATCATTGATTGTTCTACATGTCTCTGCTTTTCTTTCTTCTTTTATAATTTATACTATTTGTTTCTCAGACAAATTGGGGAAAACCTCATTGTGCCTGGTGGAGTAAAAACTATTGATGCCCATGGCCGCATGTTGATGCCGGGTGGCATCGACGTGCACACGCGTTTCCAGATGCCTGATCGAGGTATGACGTCTGCTGATGACTTCTATCAGGGCACCAAAGCTGCACTGGCCGGAGGCACCACCATGATCAGTAAGTCACCCTACTGTGTGGGATTATCAGAGTTCTTCTATCGGTTTTTCTCTCTCCCTGCATTTTGTTAGAGAATCAAAGCTGACCTTGCAGTGGTTATCATTCACTGATGGGCTTTAATTGAAAATCTCTTAATGAGGAGAGCAGGGCTGCCAGGCCTGTTCATGACTGAGCAAAAACATAAAACCAATCATCTGCTCTGAGGACTCAGCCACGAGGTGCTGACTGAGGCAGGAAGAGAATTCTCCTTAGACTGGACAGAGGCTGCAGATCTGTTGTTATCTTACATACTTTTAGGTTTCTCACATAGTACATGTTCTCCCTCCCATGGACTAGTTCTGTTTCAGATCCAGTTTCAAGTTGGTTGCAGATTCTTGAGTTTTAGGTTTTTGGTGATCATGGTTGATTCTTAAGTCTTAAATTATTTTTGACATTTCTTACGCACCATCCTAAAAGTAGTTTATCATTTCAGAATGCAAAGCTGCTAAGATTAAAAGGATGATGTAATGTGAAAAGATAACACGGTTAAATGAAAACCTCTCCTCTATATGTCCCAGCCACCCTCCCTCTGACTCAGCAGCTACGCTCTCCTCTCCCTCACAGCAGAACAAACACTCAGAGACTGTTGTGTGTCTTTGTCCCCTCTAAAAGCTAAATGCTGACTGCTGCAGAGTCAGACAGGACTGGAACTGGGACCTAATATACATCAGCCCGGTGGCTGGAATGTCAATGGAGTGCACATCACTAGTGGACATATGTGGCTGCATTTGGATCACAGATGAAAGATAAAGATTAAACTTTATGTTGCAAATGGTCCAAACTTAAAATGTATCTGAATCCAGTCTGGATATGCCAGTTTGAACATACTGTAAATACTGAGACATGATGGCTTACAAGAGTCACTTTGTCTATAATTGTGACTGGAATTTTTAGTTATTTATTTTTGTCATTTTACAGAATAAATCAGTAATCGGTTGGCGGCTTCATTTATTGGAAATAATTGTTAAATATAGTCATAAAATGAATACACACCTTTTTCTGATTCCACTGAAGGACCATTTAATAAACTCCATCCTCTGCTTACATAGATCTGAGTCATTATGTTTTCTCAAGGATGTCTGAAAAGTAACATCTCCAGATGTAACATCTTGAGCTCATAAATTTGTCTTTGTGTTGTGGAAAACCATAGACAGCTGATCGTTTGATCGCTGGCTCTGCTTTGTGTAGAGGCAGCAGTTTTGTATCTGCTTACTGTAATGTTGTTTTCATAGAAGGTCAATATGCTTCAAAATTGGTACCCGATAAATTTGGAACATACTGGGCTGCCAGATGTGAACTACAAGCTATCTCGTGTGGATCTAGACACAAAATCTATGAATCAGGATAACACATAATGTAAGCTCATGGAGGCTGAGCCACTGTGTGTGTGCGTGTGTGTACCCAGTCGACCATGTGGTACCTGAGCCTGGAGTCAGCCTCATCTCAGCCTTGGAGCAGTGGCATGAATGGGCCGACGGCAAGTCCTGTTGTGACTACTCGCTGCACGTCGACATCACTGAGTGGCACAAAGGTGTCCAGGAAGAGATGGAGACACTTGTGAAGGATCACGGTACGACCACTCCCAACACACAGTCATATGTGATTTTCTCAAATGAATATGTTTCACCAGTTTCACCCAGTCTCTGCTACTAAAAACCAGTTATTTTGTTGTAGTAGCAACAGACTAATCCCCATCAGTCATGTAACCTCTTTGCCGTACATGGCATGCTTATGTTTAAGAGTAGCAATCTCATTTAATTTGTTTAGCAGGCAGAGGAACAAGACTCATTAGTGACCTCTGGAGGCTGGAATGTTCACTGCACCCACAACACAAAGACTGAACAAGTTACACAACTTCTTTTGGGCACATTTGGCAGATTTATGACATTTCATTTGGGGGAGATGGGAGTAGTATTCACAGCACATTTTGAGATGATTTTATGACCCATTCAACTTTATATCAAGAATTTATTTTACAGTTAGTTTCTCCTGCTTTGTTGTTGTCTGTCAGTTACATCAGGTTGGTTTTTGATTTTCAAATGGTTGGTTTCATTTAATGCCTTAAACCTTCATTTCCTTTATTTTCTTTTATTTTTTATTTTGTAGGTGTCAACTCTTTCCAGGTCTACCTGGCTTATAAGGATGTTTTCCAGCTTACTGACTCGCAGGTGAGGCTTCTGCTGACACAGTCATTTCAATCTCTTGCCATGTATTTCTGAGAAACAGAGGGGACTTTGCAACAAATATTCATTTTCTCAATGTTTTTAAAGATAGTAAATGCTATTTTAAAGCTACAATAAACTAAATTTTAATAGTTACATAATTTAGTTTTAAAGGTGCAACCAAATATCTTAGACAAATCCCTGTTCAATCTGGATAAAACCTGGAGGGAGCTTGGCATATTTTACAACAGTGTTCTGCTGTTGGCAGGGCCAATTTACTGAGATGCAGCCACTTCTACAATAAATTCAAAAATCAGTTAGTCTGTACAAGTTGCTTTCAACCTAATGGTTATCATTACCATCAGTGGCACTCACATGAATTCACAGGCAAACACTGTTGGATCAGCCAGTATAACAGCTATATTTGTTTACTCTATCCTTCATCAAGACTGAAAGCTTAGCCAAAACTGTGATAAAATAAAAATCTATTTTCTGTCTTGTGTGTAACACACTGTTCTGTGGGTAAGTAAGGACTTGAAGAAGCAGAGAAAGAGGCTAGTTGCCTACCATAAGTCTGACATTGTATTATCATAAAAGTCATATCTCTGTCTTGATTTTGGCTCTTGTGAGTGTTTGAGTGTGTTTGTCTTGGCGAGGTGGTGTTTCATGCTGATTATCTCATCTGTGTGTTTCTCTTTGGTGAGTGAATGGATAATGAAAGCCACATCTCTGTCCAAGGGTCTCTCTGACTCAGGGTTAAACTGAATTAATACCACTTGGAAGCTGTTTTGAAATAGATCTGTGTTGCGCTTTGCACCTGTGTAAGGAATGCTTGCCGGCCAGTGTGGCCAGAGTTGATCATTTTCTCTCTCAGCTCTTTATTGTAGCACTTTTTGGCAGCTGGGAGATGAAAACTCATTCGACATGCCAGTTTTCCTTCAGTAGGTGAAGTCACAGTCAGAGTGTGGGAGATGCACATACTGTGGAAAATTCTGGACCAACCAGTGGTTCATTTCATCACAAAAGCATCTGGACTCATTAAAGTTGTGTCTCTAATGTGATTAGAGAATTTGTGTGAATACAGAAGGACTGTGACAACAGTGTTGATGCTGAACAAGGAGCATAGTTTTTTCATCAGTGATCGGTTGATTAATCACTTGACACAATGTATTGACTATTTTGGTAACTGTTCACTGGTCTTTAAAGTCATTTTTCAAGAGGAAATACCAAACTCTCTGTGACGCCAGCTTCTCTGATATGCAAATGTGCTGCTAAATGGGCTGTTTTTTAATGGTTTAGATGATTGTAAATGAAATATCTCTGAGTTTTGGACTGTTGCCTGCAGAAAATAACCCATTTTAAGATGTTATTTTGGTCCAGGGCAGTGAATTGAAAAATAACTTATTGACTTTAATGAGTGAATAAATTATTTGCATCCCTATAATTCATAAAACAGTTGCAAACTACTACAGCAAAGACAAAGAAGAGCAAAGTCTAATAGAGATATGTAAGAAACTCTGGTTAATTAGGCTTGTTGAAGGATATTTTTTAAGATGCAGATAATAAGTCAGGCCAGTAATATTTCATTGGTATAGTGATGTGACAGCACACAATTTACAGCATCATTGCTATGAGGTTGTACTGAATCACAGAGGTGCTTTGAGCTTAATGCTAATTTTTTGCATGCTAACATGTTCACAGTGCCATATTTAGCCTTTGCAAATTAGCAGTATTCTCAAAGTACAGCTGAGGCTGTTGGTTGATAAACAGAAGTATTGGACAGACTGAATTTTTGAAGTGCTGATCACCAGAGTTACTGTAATTCACCGTAGGGGTGACATGAATGTGTGTACCAAATTTCATACATTGTAAACCATCAAATATTTACATAATAGCTGTCTCTTTGCTGCAGTTGTACGAGGTGTTCAGTGTGATCCGCGATCTGGGAGCCATCGCCCAGGTGCACGCTGAGAATGGAGACATTGTAGCTGAGGTATGACGTTCCACCCCATAATGAGCCAGGAGTTGGACATGAATAAACATAAATTTTTCTGCTGAAGTTGCCTTAAAAGTGGCATCAAATGGAATATAAATATATATATATAGACCTACACGCTGAGTGTCTCAAGGCATTGCCTGGTGTCGACGTGGTGAGCACAAAGGCCGACAGCCTCAATGTGCTTTATAAAACCATTAATTAAAACTCATCATTTTTTCCACAGTCATGATGAAATGTTTGATATATTGTTTTTCACTACCAAGGCTTGTTATGAGAAACATGCATGCACCTGCATGACTCGACATCTCGCATTTCCACAGCGGTTTGTGTGTGTTTGTTCATCTGTGTGTGTGTGTTTAGGAGCAGCGCAGGATCCTGGAACAGGGGATCACTGGGCCTGAAGGACACGTGCTGAGCCACCCTGAGGAGGTGAGACAGCGAGTGATGAATCAGCTCATCTACGAACTGTATTTACAAAAGTCCTTTTATTTTGCTTTCCAACATTTATAGCTATTTGTGTAACGCTGAGATTTGCTGTACAATGCAGGTGTCTCAATTCTTGAAATACTCTCCACTAGATCGAATACATCCACTTCAGACTCACCCTGATATGTTTAATGCTAATACTCCTGTCCTAGAGCTATTACAGATAAGAGCACATTTTTTTATATGAATCATTTACCATTCACATGTTTAAAAGTAGAGAGTAGAATTTGAGGTGTGGCAGCTGTGTTTTTGCTAAAACATATTTTCTCCTTCTTTTCTCCTTTTTACTATGATTTAATGTCTAATTAAGTTCGGTAAACTCAAATACTGAGTAAGTTCTCACTGCCAAGCAGAATGTTGCCAACCTTTTTTTTTTTTTAGCCCTGTATAGAGCAATGATTAATAACCTCTGGGTAAAATGTGACAAAAGGGAGAGCCAAAACTGACGAGATGAAAAATCTATTCAGCTTTCTCTCTACTTGGAATACTGTGTTACTGTTTGTCACTGAAAATCCTGCCATTTTATTTGTCCAAAAAATTTGCCAAAGCCCTTTTAAGTGTTTTACCTTATTTTTGGTGCTAAGGGTGGAAAACAGATTTTAAGGAAATTAAAGCACTGAAACACACTTAAAGGAATAATCTGACATGTTGGAAACTACATGTCTTTGCGTTCTTGTTGAGAGGGTCCACTGTTTTCCCTCCACTTCTTTCTCCTTCAGGTAGAGGCGGAGGCAGTAAACCGCTCTGTGACTGTGGCCAATCAGACCAACTGCCCCCTGTACGTAACGAAGGTGATGAGCAAGAGTGCTGCTGATGTCATCGCTCAGGCCAGGAAGAAAGGTGAGAGACTTAATGGAATATTTGTTTGATCTTGTGCTAAATCAACATTTCTTTCAGTTTGTCACCATTTTAACGTCTCTTTTCCGAAACTAGACACAGCACAGATGAGCCTTAAAACAAAACCACTAAAACTGACCAAAATACTTCTTTTCCACAGTTATATTTAATATTTGGACTAAAAAATGCATAAATAATGTTAACATAACTTCTAATCAAGTGAACCCATGCAGTAGATTATAAAGAAAACAGACAGTAAAACAGGAGAGTGTATTTAATGTGCATGTCCAGCACAGGAAGCATTCCAACAGTCCACACCACATTCATATAACAAACTAGGAGCGGCGTAGCTGGTGTTACAATGGTGCTGGTTTTTCAGGAACTGTGGTCTATGGAGAGCCAATCACTGCAAGCCTGGGAACAGACGGCTCGCACTACTGGAGCAAGAACTGGGCCAAGGCAGCTGCGTACGTCACCTCCCCTCCCCTGAGCCCCGACCCAACCACACCAGACTATCTCAGCTCCCTGCTTTCCTGGTAAGAGGATGATCCAAACATTCAAGCTGGAGTTAGTGTGAAAAATGTTGAAACGACAACAATGGAATGTAGTGTTACAGTTAGTTCAGCAGTCTCTTTAACCCCCTGCCCTCTCTGTTCTCTTTTTCCTTTATGACCTCCTGTAAAGTGGTGACCTGCAGGTGACAGGAAGCGCACACTGTCCCTTCAACACTGCCCAGCGAGCTGTGGGCAAAGATGACTTCACCTTGATTCCAGAGGGAGTCAATGGCACCGAGGAGAGGATGTCCATCATCTGGGACAAGTGTGTGGTACGTTAATTAATATTTGTTTAACAAATGAGCCTAGCTGGGGTTCGGAAATGTTGAAAAACATCACAGTATCTGTAATTTTAGATCATGATGTTTCTATACAAAGTTATATGGTGCGTTTCCTGGAAAATCAATTGGGAAACTATATTCTGTACAGACATGTTTATTTTTGTGTTTCCAGTGAATTAAATCAGTTAAATTACATCACAAATCGAGGCACTTTATCATGTTAATGCAAAAATCATATAGCAAAGCTAATGGTATATTCACGTTCCGCGTTGGTTGATGCAGAGTTTACCACTCCAGAACCCTGGCGGCACTGTAACTTTGCTTAATGGTTCCATGTTGGCTGTAGTGCTGATGCAGCTAGAAGAGGTTCAGAGATTCAAACAGTGGGTTTGTAATGAGCCTGTTAGCTGCATCTGCATATTCCTACTTTTTAAGTGATTATATTTTTGTCTGATCTTGATATGTGGCCAGTTTGTTACTGGACAGTCTGGGTTGTTAGTTTTTCATCCATCTGTTGACAACAGTGTTAACAGTAATGTTCAGTGACTCGTAAACTGGTAGTTTAACTACATTTTGTAATATCTTGCTGGTAGTTCAATTACATTCGTGTTTGCATAGTGATTCAAATTGTTCAATAACTTTTTAGCCATTTTTTTTAGTTAACTAGTGAAACTACAAATGGTTTTGGCCATAAAAGGAAAGGAATGATTTTGTTATTTTTTATTTTACACTGCTGCATGTGAGCAGCTTTTCATTGTTTGAAAAGACATTTTCAGTGCCAAACAGAATGGCTCATGTGTTGTATAAACAAAAGCTTATTATGCTCTGACAATTTTTCAAAAAGCCCTTTATGAATAGAATAAAATCAAGGACCGTGACGTCGCCCAGCATGGCGCAGCCGGGGCCCAACCCTGGAGCCAGGCCCGGGGTTGGGGCTTGAATGCGAGCGCCTGGTGGCCGGGCCTCCCCTCACGGTGCCCGGCCAGGCTTTGCCCGAACAAGCGATGTGGGGACGTCCTCCCGTGGGCCCACCACCAGGATCCATTAGGGGCTGGTGCACAGTGGCTTGGGCAGCAGTCGAAGGCAAGGGCCCCGACGACCTGATCTCTGGACACAGAGGCTAGTCCTGGGGACGTGGAATGTCACCTCGCTGGTGGGGAAGGAGCCCGAGCTTGAGAGGTACAGGCTAGAGATAGTCCGGCTCCACTCCCTGCACAAAACCTGGGGAGGACCCAGGACACGCTGGAGGGACTATGTCTCTCGGCTGACCTGGGAACGCCTTGGCATTCCCCCGCAGGAGCTGTAGGAGGTGTCTGGAGAGAGGGAAGTCTGGGCATCTTTGCTTAGACTGCTGCCCCCGCGACCCGGTCCCGGATAAGCGAAGGAAAATGGATGGATGGATGGATGGATGGATGCTGCATGCAGCTTTTCAGTGTTTGAAAAGACATTTTCAGTGCCAAACGGAACGGCTCATGTGTTGTATAAACAAAAGCTTATTATGCTCTGAGAATTTTTCAAAAAAGGCCCATTATTTCGACCAGTATTCAAGCTGTTCACACTGTCTAAAAAGGTGCAAGTTGAGGGTTGTTTTTGTTATTAAGATTGTTAGATGGTGCAAAACGGATAATAGGACAGCAAGTCCATTTTTTTGACCAGTGCTCAAGTCGGCCAAAAAGTCTAAAAAGGTGCAAATTATAAAGATTTTTTTTAGCTGTAGTCGGATAAAACAAAATCCAGATTTGTTGACAACAAAACAATATTCCTTGCAGTTTTGTAAAAAGCCCAGATGAGATTTTTTTTATTTAGGGCAGGTTTATGTCTCAAGTAATAAACTCAACTGAGTGGCATGTGAGGTTTTTACATTAGACTTTGTTAGAAGTTTGTATCACATGTACACTGTCAATTTGAGCATTTTTTGCAAAGTAGTTAGAACTTCTTTTTCTAAGTAGCTTTAACCCAACTAGAGTTCTCCCTAGAGTCACTTTGCTGTATTTCAACTTCTTCTGGAGTAAAATCATTGGTCGCTTGTCAAGCTATGTTTTCTGAGTAGCTTCCCTAACACAGTACACAAAGCGATATTTAGCAGATAGCTACAACAGTATTCAGTTCTTTTTCCCCACAAAAAAAATCAGCATGCACAGGACAACACCAACACACCTAAATCATAACATAGGCAATAAGAATAAAAGCGTCTGTGGGTACATAAGAACACACTTAAGCAAAAATATGTAATAATGAAACACTAAGAAAGAAAGTTTGATTAAATCCCACCAAGCCCACATGAAAAGACGCTGACTTTCGTACTATTCTCACCCTCAGCTCTGATTCATTTCAGGTGACCGGTAAGATGGATGAAAACCAGTTTGTGGCAGTGACCAGCACCAACGCTGCCAAGATCTTCAACCTGTACCCCCGCAAGGGTCGTATCGCTGTGGGCTCAGACGCTGATCTGGTGCTGTGGGACCCGGACATCATGAAGATCATCTCTGCCAAGAGCCACAACTCGGTAGTATTTTCACTCATAACTCCAGACCCGAATATTTACACCTCAGTACAACTTCTAATATCAAGTGCACTATGTGCCAACACATGTTTTATGTGTCAGCTGCCTACCATGATGCCTTTTGGACATCAAATACAATTAATCAAACAAACTATTTTATTATGTGATAATGATTAGTAATAATAGTTCCTAACTAATGACAGCGAAAGCAACTGGTTTATTAATCTACTTCTTGTTGGATGGGATTTTTATGGCTGTCTGACTTGCTGAACAGGGAGTGGGCCTCACACAGCGTCTGGGGAGTGATGTCATTCTTAAAATTTGCCAAAGAACTGGAACACATCATTTCTGGATTGTTAGTAGCCAGATCTCTATTTGTCTGTGTATGTTTAAGAGGGACATAGAAACTATTGCTGTGTATTTTCTTGGAATCTGTTTGCTTGATCCCATCAAGTCCTTTGGTTTCTTTTTATTCCGTCTGGTCAAAAAAACAGAGGGACTCATGTCCATGGGAGAAATTGCTCATGTGGAGTGTTTCTGCATGAATGTATGTGTCACAGCTCACTGGTGATCTCATTTCAGTCCACCAGGTTGCCATGACCTCATGCTTAGCTCGAATAGGTTTTAGGAGAGCCCAGTTGTACTGTGCGGCTTCCAAACTGGTCTCACAGCTGCCTCCCCAGCTCCCTGTCTACACCCTCAAAACACCCAGAACACTCAAACGATCCTGCTGCCGCTGCCTGAGAACTGAGGCATCTCTGCTACATCAGATGTTTTTGCACCAGCGATTCGCTTTGCTTTCTTTTTAGCATCAGAAGCCAGAGGGAACACTTATCTCTGGACGAGTTAAATTGGTTAAGCTCCTTTCACGAGCGCACTTTAATGCGTAACATTCTAGCAATTTTGCATGGTGTCATCCCATGGGAACTCAAACAGGAGTCTGTCGACATCATTCTGGCAAATTTTCACATAAAGATTTGAGTGATATTTTCATAAATTGGTGAACTGAAGCACAAACATTTCCAGATGGAGCATGTGCTGCAGGGAAGTCATCCTTATGATAGTGAAAATCAGCTGGAGAAGATGAAGCATTGTATCTCTGTGATGATTTAACATATGGGCTTTTGAGGCATGCACAGCTGTACAAATACCACACAGGAATACAGCTGTTGACTTTCAGCCATGAGCTTCAACCTGCTTCAAGTCTATAAACACTAACTTGAAATCACACACAGGCACCAGACAAATTTTCAATGCCATGTCATGGATAATGTTGTTAAATCCTAAATGCATAAGAGCCAAAAGACTGTGAAATAACTGTATAATTAATGTACATACAATATATAGAGAGAGGTTTGGGAATTGGAGTAAAGTCAGATTTTCAAGTACAAAAACACAGTTTTATCTGGTTGTCAAAGTTTCTTATTAGTTTCAAAAATGAAAGTGAAACTAGGGCTATTTGAAAATAATGAACAATGTAAATATCAGTAATTGAATTACAGGTTTGTGACTTTATACTGTTATATAATGTTCACAGTTTCAAATATGAAGTCTCATTTGTGAACACTAATTCAACTAATCTGAAATCTTGGACAGTTTTGGTGCAACTGGCAGCAGCTATGGGCTTAAACAATAAATAAAACAAGTGAAAACAGATAACGCAGAACCAAGAGTGTGAGTAGTTTACAAATGTGTCATAATCGGTAACTAACAGAGGCGACTATTTAATGAAGAGTTTACAACCCCTTCTCCAATTTGGTACGGTAGAGAAAGACACAGCCAACCATGGATGCTCACATGTTGCTTGGACTGCGCAACAATATATAAGGAATGGTTAGAACCAAGAATGATGGCTCAGTTCATGTGCAAGCCTCACTTACACAGCGGCTGGGTTCCCAGTGCCCTTCTGGGGCTGATCAGTCACAACAGTCATTCTTATTTTCTTGCTCGATTTTCTCTGTATTTACTGTATATGTTATTTAAAAAAGGTCATGATGTCCAGCAAAAATAAAAAATAAAGGTACTTTTTTCCTGCTTTGGATTAATTCTCCTGTTACTTTAACATCTTTTACAGACTGTGGAGTACAACATCTTTGAAGGCACAGAGGTGCGTGGCGGGCCTCTGGTGGTGATCAGCCAGGGCAAGATGGTCTTGGAGGACGGGAACCTCCACACCACCGAGGGCTCAGGACGCTATATTGCCCGCAAACCCTTCCCTGACCATGTCTATAAGAGGATAAAGGCTCGCAGCAGGGTACAGTGCCATTTGTCTTTTCCGTGATGGTCTGTGTTTAGTCCATTAGCTGTTATTGTCTTTGGTCTTTTATTTTAAGGCTGTTAAAAGTCTGAATTTAACAGTGAGTGTTGAAAGGTGACAGCTTCCATACTGCAAACCAGTTGCTCCACGCATTCAGTTTGTATGATGATTGATGATTGTTTTGTAGCGAGCTGGAGGGATGATGCAGCTTGTCAGGGACTGGCCCTGCATTTGTGTACATTCTGGTTAGGGGATGGACTATTTCTTTGTTAGTTTTCACTGCCATGATAGTTGTCTGTTTCCCAAAATGCAGCTGGCTGAGCTGAGGGGTGTGCCCAGAGGACTGTACGACGGTCCAGTCTGTGAAGTGTCAGTCACCCCTAAAACCATGACTCCTGCCACCTCTGCAAAGACATCACCTGCCAAGCAGCCCAACCAGCCAGTCCGTAACCTGCACCAGTCTGGCTTCAGCCTGTCCGGTCAGTGGAGACACTCTTTGTTTGTTACTACTCTTGTCTCACCCAACAAAAGCTGAAATATTAGTTCACCTTCTATTTCTGTAGAGTGTAAACACAACCTCGAATAGCCAACTTTCCATTTGATTACTCAGGTGCTCAGATTGACGACAATGTTCCTCGCCGGAACACCCAGCGCATCGTGGCGCCTCCTGGCGGCAGGGCCAACATCACCAGCCTGGGTTAGAGCGCCACCCTCAGCTGCTGAGGAGGAAATGAAGATTTGTGAGGGAGGATGGCTGAGGGGTCGACAAGCCACATCACAACACCGTGGAGCCGAACCCTTTGCAGCACCTGACGGGGCCATCTGTCAGCCTCCATCTTACACCTCCTCTGTTGCCGCTTTTTCACATATCCACTCTCCTCTTCCCCAAAACCTGATCATTCAGCATACATCTAAAAAAAAGTTCTGCCTCATATGATGAAAACACTCCTTATTTGAGCACTTTTGACTGCATTATTTAGTTTTTTATACTGTACTTTCTCTCTGCCCTGTATTTTAATGTTTTATTTTACTGTTGTTTTAAAAGAGGAGTCAACTGAGACTAAACTAACACAATGAAGAAAATGCAGGATGTCCATTGTATTTATATTCTTTTTGTTCATTTCAAGAGTAGTTTAAATGGAACATGGGTACAAAACCAGTATTGTTTTCTTCTGTTTTTGTATTTACTTAGGTCAAACTGTAGGTTGGTTGAAGTTGAACAGTCTTAGTTTATTCAGTTGACAAGAATCATATACTTCCTTCCAAGTGTTGACTATTTGTGATATGTATTATGTTACATTTCGATTGCTTCACTTTCCAGTGTATCGGCCTCTGTTACACACTGCTACAATCATTGTTTAATAGGTTATTTACCATGAGGATGAACACCACAGCAGTCTTTTATTAGGGTTATAGACTCTCGCTGCACTGACTCTCATTTTTTCCCCACCTGTGGCTTTGCTAAGGGACATTAGTAAAAAAAACATATTCCATATTTGGCAGCTGCCTTACAGCTTGTGAATTGGCGGGAAAGTCTTGTGGTGAAGAGGGAGCTTTGGCAGGTAGTAAAAAGAGCGTTATGCCTCATCTCTGAGCATTAAGCTGTGGTGAAGAGGTAGAGCTGAAGGAAAGGTTTAGAGGAAGAAGAGAAAGTAGTTCTCGCTGCCATGGCAAACTCAACCTTTCCTTGCCTTACTGCTTCCTAACGCCATCCTCCTAGAGAATTTTTAGTTCAGGGATGGTGCCATTCACTACATAGGTACACTGTTTATACTTTGTTCACATTCCTGTCTGGATTTTTTGATTGACAGTTGCTGGTGAAGCATCTGATAACTGTCGCCAACCATGCAGTGCATTTTCATACAGAGTGTTTCTCTTTCTCCTAGTGTGACTGTTTCATACTCATCAAAATCCTCCTTTCCTTCTACTCTTTATGTGCCTGAACCCACAGAAGTTGTACTGATAGTTTGATTCTTTTGTGTTTAGTTATCCTTATTGAGGTAAATGAAGGATGTAAGGTAAAAAGATGTAAAATAGCCAGGATTAACCGATTCAAAGGTGCCAGATTTTGCTTTTTCATTGGGCCTATTCTGCTGGTAGAGCCCCTGTAAAGACGAAAAATGCTCGATATCTTGAAATGTTCTAATGTTTTAGAGTTTTTAACTTGTTGTCAAACTGCTTTTTAGTGTCATTCTGTATCTAGGTGCCTAAGGGCTGAGCACTATTGGTTTACGCTTGAAAGTAGACATGAGCTAATGTATTTCTGACTAATGTGCAGCATTGATGTGTGAGGAATGGGACACACACGGCAGCGTCCTGTACAGCACCCCCGACTGTTGTGAACGTGACATTGCTCTGGGCCACGCTGAGCGTTCATATGTCCTTGATCCTTTGATTTTATTTTATTTCATTTTTTAAACTGACTTTCATTAAGCCAAGCAAGTGGTTTCCCGTGTTTCCTCTCATTTCAGTGAGGTCTTAGTTTCTTCACCATGACTCAACATGGAGCAACAAGATCACCCAGACCTGGACAAAGGCCAGCTACATATATCTGTATAGACTAGTCTGAGCGTTAATCTATGGTTAAGTTACTTAATTAAACTTGTTTAGCTAAGATTTTCACTTGTGTAAATCTTGGCACCAGCAAAGTTAGCCAGCTGGTTTATACTGGTTTGATTTGCTGGAAAAAAAAACTTAGAAAAAATCAACTGGACTAGATTTCTAGGTCGAAGACGTTTCACCTCTCATCCAAGAGGCTTTATCAGTTCTGACTGACTGGTGATGAGTCGAAGATATTTATCCCCCTCGGTGGTGTTTCAGTCCTTTGAAAGCCAACAATGTCCTCTAATGACTGAGTTGTTATAGCCCAGTATCGGTGAGAGTCGTTACCTGTCTTTGAATCCTCCCTTGTGGACCGACGCCTATTGTCATGGTGGGCATGTTTGGGCAGAGATCTCAAAAAACAGGATTGTAGATGGATGACAACTTGTGTCTTAGTCCACCACCCCTATTTAGTGAGGGGTGTTCTGTTTTTACAAAAATAGCTTCCTTAACTCCTCTCTCAAACCAGCAATGTTCTTTGAACAGGATCTGGACTTCACTGTCCTCAAAAGAATGTCCTTTGTCCTTCAGGTGGTGGTGGGCTGCTGACTCTGGTCCACTGGAGTTGGCCCTCCTGTGTTGGGCCATGCGTTTGTGAAGCGGCTGCTTAGTTTCACCAATGTACAAGTCGTTATACTCCTGACTACACTTAATGGCATACACCACATCACTCTGTTTATGTCTGGGTGTTTTGTCCTTTGGGTGGACCAGTCTCTGCTGCAGGGTGTTCCTTGGTTTAAAGCTAAATGGGATATTGTGGTTGTGAAATATCCTGTTTAACTTCTCTGATAAACCAGCCACATAAGGGATGACAGTGTTATCACTATCATCTTGTTTCTGGTTTCTCCCTGTTGGGCCTCTTCCTTGCTTTGGTGAAGGCCCACTGATTGATTTGATTTGTTTGCTATTGAACTCATTAAATAGTGTCACAAATATTTGTACTGTCATTTGGAGATTAAAATTTCACAACAAAATGGTTTGTGGAAAAAAAAAACAGTGTAGTTGAGAGGAAGTGTTCTACCAGCCCATTTTTAATCCCCCCCAATCTGACTTGACCCACATCCAGGCCATGACTCCCCCCGTGCAGATAGTTTTGACCACACCAAACCATTTTCCTGGCCTAAAAGTAGTCTTATCCCAGTTTATAAATTGCAGTTCTTTGTTTCTTATCTCATGTTTATTCCAGTTTTATAAACATGTGCTTAAATGGTGTGAAAATCCAATAAAAGAAAAAAGAATCATAAGTACAGACAAAACTTTTAAAGTGTCATTTATAAAAGATAAACCACATGTCAGGAGACTCAAGTCCCCAAATTATGAGTCAAAAATACTGATTACATGACCTACATATCCTCATTGTTAGCTACAGCCCTTCCCACAACACAGTGTATGTACATGTAAACTAAAAATCTTAGATTCAAGTCTGTCTCTATGCAGCTGGTCCCTAATTTACACATAGATAACGGCGAAACACAACCTCACACCACTTCTCTATTTGTGCTTTCAACCCCACTTTTCTAGTCTTCCACCCTTCTATAGAAGGTAAAGTCTGTCCTGAATGACTAATACAATTTGGCAGCAAGCATAGTTCTGAGAGTGAAAGCTTGCTTCTTGTATTTTTGTTTTTTTCCATGTTACTCCTTGCTCTCAGTTTGTATTTCTCTGCCTTTTGTTCACCCCTTTCTTTCCATCTGTCCCTGGCTCCTTCTTTGTTTCTGGCTGTTGCTGTGGTGACAGACCCCCCTATTCTTTTGGGGTTCTGCTTTGTGTTTGTCATGGCAACGCTTGTCAGGTTCGAGGTTGCCATTAGCAACCTGTCCTGACCTGGTGGTATGAGTGCAGCTTTGTGCTCGTGCACACACACACACACACTCACACATACGCGTGGTTTTATAATTATTCTGTGACAGTGCTGCACCATTTTTACATAATCCTATGCTGAGTTGCACAGAACCCAAAATCCTCTGTTGCTTAAAAAGAATAGATTAGAGTTGAAAGCACAGTACAGACTGCAGTAGAAACATACTCACTCACATTAAATAGCAACCAGTCGTTGCTGTGATGCAGCACCCGCGCCTCGGGAATTGACTTGGCTGTTAAAAAAACAACTGTCAGCGCTGCCGTCCTCACTGTGTCCCATGCCTCCTTGATTTACTCACAGTAAACCACACACTTACCGGTATACTCCTTTCATGCTCTGTCAGCTTGGATGCTTCTTGTATGCCATATTATGCTAATGATATATGAGTGATAAGTATGTACAATGTGCTGCAGAATAAGAGGAGCTTCCCTCTATTGTTGATGCTGTTGAACACCTTCTTGCCCCCCTGAACCCATTCATCTCCCTCTGTAAGCCTTTCTTCTTTGTGAAATTGAAACTGTGTGATGGTATTTGTCTTGGTGGTTGGGGGGTTTCTGGGATGCTTGCTTATTATGGAAAAGTGTCAAAGCCCATAGATGGTGATGTAAAAAACAATACAATGAAAAAAAAGGACTTCAAAGAATTAAAAAACAAGGAATCAAATCTCCGTCTTTGGTTTATGACTTATATGTTAGACGCATTCTGTAAGTCATGAAATTTAGAGACTATAAAAGAAAAACACAGAGACACAGTTGATGCTTGGTGTGGGCCGATTATGTTTGGACAGTAATGCAGTATAGTTCACAGGCCTTGTAGTACACGTAACATGCACCTCAGCCTCCCAAGCTGAACTCATTTTCACTGGTGACTGAAAATCCCATTGTCAACTTGCACTGTAAAACTCAACAAGCTAGTTCAGCTTAAAATAATTTCTAAGCTGACTGCCTAAGCAAGCTGGGAATCTTAAATTGTTTGTACATTTGTCTAACTTAGAATAATAAGTTGAGATGACACAGTGAAGCGGAAAAGATAGTTCCACCAACTTTATATTTTAAATTTAATCAACAAGTATTTTAGTATTACCAGCAGGACATTTTTAGTTGTACAAATCTAAATGCTAGACAACAAAAAATGTCACAACAAACTGACTACTGCTATCAGTTATAGAAGCATAAAATAAAAGTTATTTCAACAAGCATCTTGCAGAATTTACTTGTTTTTTCAGCTGAACAGATAGAAGGTAAAGGTAAGCTCAAACTCATATCTTGTTTTAATGAACTTACTTTCTGAAGGCAGCCAGGTTTTTAGAAAAGGTTCCTCTTACTTGCAGCATTGTTTACTCAAAACTTTAACATGCATAATTTGCCCGTGCAGGTAACATTTGTATTTACTAACAGTACCACCCAAAAAATCAATGAATATTCAAAATGGCTTTTTATTTTAATTTAAAACTGACAGTAGACTTTCCACCAGAAATCTCAAACTTGAATTATGAATGAATGAATTATGGTAAGTTCCACTTATTTTACATTGACGTTTACATTTTACATAAAACAGCCAACTGTAAAACCTTACAGCTTATGTGTGTAGCCAAATAACTGGCACCACAAATGGCCATAAAAACGTTTGGTGTGTGTTTCAGGTCTTTTGGGGTAGTCTCTATCTGGGTGGTATAAAAGTTAGCTCATGCAGGTGCTCTTCTTGAATGACAGCAACATCAACAGTCACTTGCAACAGCAAGTGTTGCTTGTGTCCATCTTCCTCTGTAACAAAAAGAAGGCCAACATTCACTTCTTTTACAGCCTCCAACCCTGAACTGGAAGCCTAAGAAATATAAACATTCAATTATTAAGCATCACTAGAAAAAAACACAGTTACTGTTCTTTTTGGAAAGACAAGGATAAGGAAATCCTGCTTCTACACAGAGAATACATCATTTGGCAGTATCCCTGTTCCCAAACCAGAAAACATCCTTAGTTTTATAATGTTTGTTTTGTGTGAAACGAGGTCACTATTATGCCCATAATAAGGCACAATTCTTTTTGTTTTAACAAGTTTCAAGTGTAACTTAAATGTACTATGTTATCCCACCGGGTTATACAACTCTGCTGCCATCCCTAAACCACTAAAATATATATGAGTTGTAATGCTGCATTGGGTGACATTTTACTTAATTGCAGTGACCATGGCCAGAGTATTTAACTACTAATAGCATCGACTCTCAGCAATTTATGAAAAATGATTGTGTAGGAAAGACGATGCTCAGAGACACTGCTCCATTTAAACTACTTTGCTAGTTTGACACACTGAGAGAAATGTAGTACCACTGGCCACATTCATCACAATAAAGGAATATGTCTTCTAAATGTGATGAAATAGTTCTTGTGTGTTTAGAGATTTCTGGAAGACAGTGGGCACTGATACATACAATAAGCCATAACAAACTTTAGCTGTACAAAATATTATTAGTAAGATAAATGTATTTTTCTTTTGGTCTCAAGTCCACAAACTTGTATTGGACATAAAGTTTTTAAGATACAAAATATGACAATGTATGTCATTGTATATAAAAATAAAAAACTGCAATTTTTCCTTTGGTGTAAATAAACATCATATGGATACAGACAAACATTTCATAGCCATTACTGTGTGTCCCGGCAGCATGGTGGACCAGTGATCAGCGCCTCACAGCAAGAAGGTTCTGGGTTCGAGTCCCTGCCAACCTGTGGTCTTTCTGTGTGGAGTTTCCATGTTCTCCCTGTGCCTGCATGCCAGGCATTCTGGCTTCTTCCCACAGTCCAAAGACATACAGCTTAGGTTGATTGGTGACTCTAAACTGCCTCTAGTAGTGTGTGTGTGTGTGTGGTTGTTTGTCTACATGTCAGCCCTGTGATAGACTGGCAACCTGTCCAGAGTGGACCCCGTCTCTTGGCCAATGTCAGCTGGGATTGGCTCCAGTCCCCCTGTGGTATAGATAATGGATGGATACTGTGTGTCCCACAGTGTCAGAAAAGCTTTTTTTTTAGTTTAAAAATATTCAGACCTAATCTGGAGCTGTCTTTTTGAAGGTATTCTCGATGTCATACTCATCTGAAGAGTAAAAAAAAAAAAAAGACCTGAGTGAAAAATGAAAAACCTTGAGAGAGAAGTGTGAAACCTGTCTGTATTTCACACCTGGCCAGTTACTGTGTAATGCATTTTGCAGTCAGAGGTGATTTTAGATACTGTTACTCGAAGGACTAAGCACTTCGTCTGAAGCATATTGAGGCCTTTATTTTTACACTGAACTGA